ATATATATGAGAGAGAGAGAGAGAGGGAGCACTGCAGAGATAACTGCAGTTCTATTGTTCAAGTAAGTATCAAAATATCAAATTCAACTGTGAATCTGAAACTGCAGCATATGCCCAGGTTACTTCAACAGGTGCTGGTACAGATGTGTCTTCATGAATAAACCATAAAAAAAAATTGTCAGGTGTAACTATTGTGTGTTCTGAGTCCATGCAGTACATGGGAACTGTTTCAGAGATGCACTTCTGGATTTTCAACACTCTGAACTAAAACCAAGTAATACAGTGCCTATAGGAATTATTCACCCCCACAAGTAATACAGTGCCTATAGGAATTACTCACCCCCACTGTAATACAGTGCCTATAGGAATTACTCACCTCCACTGTAATACAGTGCCTATAGGAATTACTCACCCCCACTGTTCACCCCACCTTTTCTGTGCTACATTTTTTTATAACTTTTTTTATACACAACTTATTAAATATTTATTAGTTAATAGAGTTTTACCATAAAATATATTTTAAAGGAATTCTTTATCAGATAAGCATGTACTTATTTTTCTATAACACTCAAATAAAATCAAGTGCAACCAGCTGCCAACGGATTTCACATATTATGCTGAGTTTAGTCTATTAAAATTGATTCATGTGATTTCAGATCAAATACAATGGTCTCCACAGGACTGCAGGGTAATGGGTTCACAGCAAATATATACAACAAACCATAAAACTTTCAAAACATATAAAAACAATGAACATAAAGTCCATGGTGGGGTTGAATTCTTCCTGTACACACTGTACAATACGTTGCAACATAAAAGAAGTTAAAATCCTAAATATAGATCATACGTTCCTTTTCATTTTATATTAACACAATATGTGCAACACAGAACCAAAACAATAATAAAAAATACAAAATTCATATGTCCAATGGGTTTTTGATGGCCCACTTTTTTCAGTAAACATACCAGTCTTTGTACTTTTAACTTGCTTCATTTGTCAAGTTCATTATTTGAGTGGATTATTCAACAAAATTTTGTTCATATGCTATTTTGTCACAGACATTTTATACTGGTTTTATTAAAATTCTCCTCCCCTCAGCCGTATATGCAGCACAAGAGAACACGTGTATAAAACAAAAAAAATCCAGATCTTTGAAGTATGCAAACACAAAAAGAACACGATACAAAACTGAAAAGTCCATTCTTAATACACTCTTGTTGGCGTTCCACCTCTAAGTCCATGTGATGATCAGGAAAGGATCCTTTATTTGTATATACATGCATATGTACTAAAGCTTACATAGCCACATATATACACAAATATATAAATATAGAGACACATTGTAGGCTCTTTATCTTTTTTCTGTCTGCAAATCTTGAAAATTTCAGTCTTTTAGTCTCTGAAGTGAGGTAAAAACCAAATCAAGAAAAAAAAAGCCTGGATCCATTTTCTTCCAGAGAGAAGATGAAGGCGGAAACAATGAGCCTGCAAAAAATCCTCGTCATTGGGTGCTCAGAGCCAGAATCCATCCTTCTGGTTGGTCACACACTCATGGTCATGTTTGGAGAGTACTGCTGGGGAAGGGGGTGCAGTAAAAAAGGGGTGAGAAGGGGTAATTAAAGGCAGCGCCAAAGAAAATTTTAGATAAGAAAAGATTAAGATAAAAAGCTGATAAATATAGTATGCTTTCAAATTGTAAAAAGCCCTTAAAGCACTGGCTAAATATTAAGCTGATAAGCCAAAAAATACAGGTGTTATGCAGCAGGAATCGTCACATACGCTCTCATTCTGGAAGGGGTTGAGGAAGTTCCCGCCCATCTCACTGTCATCGCGAGGCGTACCCGGCTGATTGCTCATGCTGATGTTCCCAGGGGAGCTCTGTTTAACATAGCGGAGACAGCGTGAAGCAGGGCACGCACAAGAGTCATATTGCTCATCTGCCAGTGAACAAGAAAGGCTGAAGCGCAAGGCTGGTTTAATAACTAAAATGAATGGTATTTGTATCAGAATTCTTCTACAAATGGGACCTTAAGGTCAACACACAGCACATTAGCCAGAACGCATTGAAAGGAAGGAAAGTGTAAAAAAAATAATAAAAATGAGACACAGGGCTGGAGAACAGCAGGCTCAGGAAGCCCCTCCAAATGTGTCATCCATGCAGGGCTGCCTCCTGTCTGCCTCTTTGCTTAGCATGCATAGATAATCACACTGCTGTTTGAGGCCAGATGCCCAGTGTCAACCCATGCATTTCACCCCGTACAGTTACAGATAATTTTCTGGAGTACAGATACTTCATGGCACAGTTAGCAGGAAATAATCCATTTGATGTTTGGGAATTTGAACATCTTATAGCTGTTTTTGACACTTCAGCATATTGGATTAACCACACATGGTGGCAGATGCCGGCAAGGCCAAGGTGGGCAACTGCCAGGGCAGCATCTTCTGAAGGGGCCCCAAGTTGGCAGAGTACAAACCACCCCACCCACAGCTGTAAGATAATTATTATTATTATTATTATTATTACAATGTGCCACAAGTTAAGATTGTGATTGCTACAGAGCACAGACTAGGATTATACAAGGATACTGACCACTGAAATTCATATACAAAACACGATAGGACTGCTACATATGCTGATTTGAGAACAAATAAAAAACAGGGCCTCTGAGCAGCTACATAAGAGACTAAGAATAAGGAATTGGAAGCACACAGTGAAATGAGACATGCCCTTGCGATGGAAAATGCGAGTAGACAGGGGACCTGCACCTCTTATAAAAATCAAAGACAAGACTGACAAAGACCATACATTTCTTCTTACCTTGGATATGCTGTCCATGTCAGCAGACCCTGGGAAACAACAGAGGAGTGACACTAAGACAGTCAAATTTGTTTATACTGTATGTACTTCATTCTCCACAGTATCTCAGGGTAGTTTGTTAAAGTAATTGGTTTCAAGTCAGTCGGGCCAAGAGAAGTAAATAATGGAATAAAACATTCTGTAAATAACACCACCTGGCAGAGCAATTAAATATAAACTGTAGTTGGTAACATTAAAAAAGTTATCCATCCGTTTGTCCGTCCATCCATCCATTTATCTATTTACTCATCCATCCATCCATCCAACCATCCATCTTCCAAATTCTTGTTATGGTGACAGTTACAGGGTTGTTATAACTTATAATTTCTCAAATTGCAAAATGTTTTCATTTTGATTGAAGTGGCATCAAACCATCTCAGGTGGGACATTTTGAGAGGTGACTGACATAAACCACATGCTTGTTGTATCTGACTGACTTGATGCTTCACAGAGGATTCCAGCTGCCTGCAGATTGCTCAGCGTGAAGCCCGTCTAAGGGCCTGAGCTCTGGGATGATACTGAGCTGCTAGGAAAGGTTAACTGGCCAGTGACTGGCACTTCTCATGCTATATTGTCTATCAAGGCTATTGTATATTCTACGATTCTTCATGTTAAATTAATGTGAGGGTAGAAAATGAGGAACAATGTGAGTGATGACTTTGATCTCCTCGTCTTACCTAGTGAGCCATTCATGTGATGTGGCTCCATGCCTGGCAAACCCCCCATGGGACCGTCAGCCCCTGGACCCATTGGGAACTGTTGACCAATCACAGATGATACAGGAGGAACAGGTCAGCGATTATGTTGTGGAAGAACCTAAAGCAATAAGCACTGCTGACAGATACAACAGGTCCACAGTGAGGGGCTCTTTGAGGGATACTTAGTAGACCTCTCTCATTCTCTCATCTAAACTGTGCAAATAAGTTGTGCGCATATGCTGTGAATGTAAAAAACATGACTGATGCCTGGGTTCTCCTTGAAACAGACAGATGAATCCAGATGAAAGCTATGATCAGCAATTGAGCTGACCGGTTAACTTCAGTCAGGGTACATGAATGGGGAAGACAGGTTAAAGATGGATATTTAAAGCCTGAGGCAACTGCAACATGGGTAACTGAAACAGAACAGGAAAAAAGATTTAAGTGAGGAACTGCAAATCTGCTGGGGTTTGTCATGTCCAGTGGGACCCCATGGAATGGTCTAGAATGGTCCACCACCAAAAACACACCTGGCCAAAGGCAGGCCAGCGATTCATTGACTGGAGGGATGAAAGGTATCTGACATGTGATAGACAGATCAAGAGATGGTTCAGAGTTAGTCAACTTGGAGTCCATTACAATATGGCTCCCAAAAGCCACATTAAAAAAAATGTAGGACTTGTTACAGCTTAACACAAATTGCACTTCTTTCACAAAAAAAGACAGAATTTCCGAAGTTTCAGTTTCAGTGAGTTAAGGACCAAAAACACTAGCAGACTGGAAAAACAGTGCCTGGTTTGATGAATCACAGTTCATGCTGTTGGAGGGTCTTGGGTATGGGGAAAAACAAGAGGAGTCTATGGATCCATCATGCTGTGTGTCAACACTGTCAGCTGGTGGTGGCGGCGTGATGCCATGAAGTGTGTTATTACGGAAAAGAGTGGAGTAACTTCTGAATGCTTTAGGATTTTTGAACCTCTTTGCTAATCAGATGTATCCCTTCATGGAAGCAATGTATCCATCTGTGAATGTATTTCTTCAGATAATACCCCATCCAAGAAGAATTCTACAGCTAAGGAAGGGGTTGATGAACATGACAATGAATTCAATGCAATGCCTCAGTCCAGTTAAACATGAATAAGATGGAATGGGCTAATTGGAGTACAGATCCACTATGAATTCAGCTCAGAACAACTATGGCAAGTCAAAATAGGCCAACACTGCTATGGAGTATCCTGATGATGTAAGGCAGTTCTATATGCTATATTCTGCTCTATACCTGCTCTATATGCTTAGGAAGACATACCAAATATTTATACACTCAGTGTATATGACACACAAACACACAGAAAAATATAAGTTGAAATACATGCAAACAACAACCCTAATCACATATTCATGTAAGTTTATAGTCCACAGCAGTTAGACTCCACACTATTGATTAGACATGTGAAGAGGCAGACTCATCCTTTCTGTGAATTGTTCAATCGAAACATTATAATAAACAGATATTACTGCAAGCTGCTATTATTGGAGTGAGAATTCCAACAGGAATAAAAGCATCAGCTGTTGTGGGTCTAAAGTCTATCATGTTAAGAAGAGAAAACAATAGCAGCTGCCTCTTGGTTCCAGCATCAGTGCAGGGAAGCAGCCCAGTAGAGGTCACAGCCAGAGCCGCTTCACATGACAGCAAGGCTGCTATGTGGCAGCTGCTCATGACAACCAGTAATCAACAAAATGGCTGCACTTTTCCCATTTTCCTGCACTATATATAGCGCAGTTACACAGGGCTGCACATAGTCAGCTGAGAAACCCTGGAATTAGATTTCAAAAGCAGGACATGAACCACCATTTTTTTTTGTAATTTTCACATTCTATAAACACACAGGCAATGCATTTCTATGCAAATTTTTAAAGTACTTTTCGTCTTCTGCAGCCATTTATAACGGTGTAGTGATTATAATGCCTGCATGTACATGTCAGTTTCAATCTAGTATCCTTGGGGAAAAAAAGAACTTAATTTCAATATTTATGTGTCTAATTCAGCACATTTCCCTCTGATTGACAGAATTGTTTACCTCATCGTTTACAACATCATACTCATCACTGCCTAATTATCTTACATTTGGTCTGTTTCCGCCTGGTGGCACTGCACTGATCATTGTGTACATGTTGTCACCGGAGTTTGTGGAGTCTGAGAAAAAAAACAGAAGATTAAGTGTTTAATGTAAAAAAAAAAAGGCACATAAGATATGCAAACACATAAGCACACGAAGGGTGTTTCTCAATATGTACACTTGACCGTACTTGACCGTTCTTGTGTACCCATTTTACGTCATGTTCCATTGCCGAAGGCCAGTTCCAATACTCGAGAACAGAAGTACAGGGGACAGTAACAATCCCCGGATGTTGTTCATGTCCCACCCAAAATATCAAGGATACATCAGTTGCATCTTTGCCAAACGAGACCAGTCCCATGGTTCATTGTGTCCCAAGTTTGTTCTTGGCAGGTAAGTTAGCAAGACTGATGTTGGCTGGATCATTCTTGGTGTTGAGAATCTATGTCATGCTCACCTGCAGGGCTTGGCATTATGGGAGTCCCTGGTGGACCTCCCGCCCCAGGTGGACCCTAGAAAAATTAAAATTATCAATTCGCCACAAAATCAAGACTAATGGGCAAGTCTATTAGAAATCCAGTGGAGAAGATATTGCACAATACCCACTGAATACTTTACTCCAGAAGCTGTTTAAATTCACAGAAATGACAAATCCACCCAGGTACATCATAGCTTTTACCGAAAAGAAAATCAATGGATATTTAACTTGCAAATGTGACATTGAAAACTTCCACTGACTTAAAATGATTATGATAATATTACATAAGAAAAAGTAACAAAGAAATATGTTTCATTTTTTCCATTTTAAAAATATTTATATAAAAACATATAAATACTGGAATTTCTGAGCATATCAGTTTTGCGCAACATCTATGTTGTCAGTGCAGACTGACTATCCTCACTAATGAACAGTAACACCATGAATTTATGACATGAACCTATGAAGACAGGAATTCGGGGACTGCTGCATGCTATCCTTTGTCATGACATGTTTCCTCAAAAGACTTTTACCCAAAGCTATCAGCAAGGTTCCAGGTTACACGGTGATTAAGGACACACACTTGTAATCTGAAAGGCTGTTCTGATGGTTTAAGGCTTTTGAGGGGTCATTCTGTATCACCTATGCTCATAGACACTTAACCTGGTTTGCTTCAATGAATATCCAGCACTGTGGAGGGGTAAAATCGCAGCTTCTTTTTGCTAAGCAGCAAAATATCACCTACCACATAGCTCCCTGGAGATGCTGAAGAGTAAGGGATCTAAAAGAAGAAGACAGTTTTTGCATTTACCATGAATTCATCTTCCAACCTCACACCCAGTGCAGGGTTGTGATTTTTAAAACCCTTGTATCAAATGTTTAATGAATGTTTAAATGCATCTTAATAAAACATATCAATAAAATAAATCGGATCTTGAAAGACAGTTATGATTCATCACAAGTGAATGATTCTTTACAAAAAGTTTCTAGGAAGATAACTGCAATCTTATCTGATATTGACATATCCCCAATCTTTATAGCAGAAGAAACGGAATGTTTTGTAGTACTGAAGAGAACATGGAATTGAGAAGCAATTTCAATTACAGAACATGGAACATTAAAGGTGGTGTTTTGATACTCCTTACTGAGTTGGTGTTAGGAGGGTTCGGCCATGGTCTGCCTCCTCCGGGACCCCTATAAAAAGTATATAAGCACAGCAGTCATTGCGCTGCAGTTTGTGATCTGCCTTGCAAGCCAGGGTTCATCCCTGACAGCACACAAAGGCCAGAGAGATGAGAACACAAACCTCCCCAAGGACAAACTCTGCTACCTTCAGATCCTTTTGCCTTTGCCAAGCTGCCATGAAGAATGACTGTAAACAAACTTGTCCCCATTCTTATAGAAATTCTGCTACACAACACAGATTTGTGCGAAACAATCATGCTCTTTTTTGCATATTATTTGAAAAGAAAATAACAGAAATAACTAACAAATCATAGAAAACTCAAATGCTGCTGTCCTAAATCTCTCCGCCCGATGAAGTCTGCACCACAACTGAACCCTGGCTACCTGACCATTTGATTTCTCTAAAATTTAAAGCTCTTTTTTCTTAATCAGATTCTGCTATGCTACTTAAATGATGTAAAAGGGTGAGTGTGTACATTTTTGTAAGTGGAACAAAAGTTCTTACATGTTCATTCCAGGCATTCCTGGACCACCCAAAGCATTGAGAGGGGGCCTCATTGCACCACCATAATTCTGGAAAAAATACATAAGCCCAGAGATGTCTATGAATTCAGTATAATACTCTATTTTAGGCCATGTCTAGCAAACCAAAGCAGCCAAATAGCATTTTGAAGCTATTCAATATCCTGTTCTGAGAGCCACATACCTGAGGACCAAGGGGAACCATCCCCCTGGGGGGAGTCATCCGCTGCATTGTCCCTCCCAGGTTTGGATGCCCTGAAAGACACACTGTTAGTTTCTGATTGATATGAATACATAGAATAATCTATGCAGCTCTTTTTTAGTATTAAATAAAATACCTTTGTTACTTTTATCCTGATAACACACCAATTACATTTTATTTTAATAAAACAACTGCATTGACATGTTGGACAGAACAGGAGAATTTGGACATTATACATACCTATTTTATTTATGCTTTTTATCGGCTAGAAGATCCCCAAAGGTGCTTTTCTATATACAGTTGGATGGGCTTATTCAAGGTTATACCAAAAACCTTTTTGGCTAAACTTCATAATGACACAAACCTTGCTGTCTTGTGGGATCCATTCCAGTGGGGAGTAAAGGCTGGTTTCCAGGGACTCCACCCAGTGCCTGGAGAGAAAGGGTGTTTCAGTGTGAAATCTCTGAGGTGGACAGCACATAATATGTAAGAGATAAAAAGGCATCGAGGTGTGTAGTTATACAAAAATAATCAATGGGAACTTGGTGTAATGCGACCGAGTTGGAGTTGATTATTTTCATGTAACCGCACGTCTCAAAGTGGTTCATCCCGCTTATATCATGGCTAACACGCAAAAAATATAATAGAATAAACTACTCACGGTTAATTTGTCATTAGCATTTGATAATGTTCCAATTTGTTCTTAAAAATATAGTCCCTACAATTATGGAATGTCTGGTCAGGTTACTCAATGGAAACGGCAAGTCTGTTATGTTACTATAAAAACCATCAACACACAGGCGCTTGAGTTTTGAAAACAAAGGAATATTCTGCTGATTAGGATGACTGCTTATTCATGAGTAAAATGTCACACAGATTTTTATACTAATGTGTTTAATGAAACAGTAAAATGCACAGTAAAAAACTGTTATTAGGATGCCGGAACTACCTGTGTGGTTACAAGAAAATGATCATACCCATGTTACATCTCTCGGCCAATGAGAAAATAGTATTTATGAAAGCCATGGTATAAAGTAATATATAATGTATAAATAACAATTGTATATTTTGTTTATTTAAATTATCTAAAATCACATCCTAAATTCTTCAGTTGTCATATTTCAGAGATTTTGCTGCTTGTGGTGTATCTTTATTCTTCTGTATCTCAATGTAGTGACATACTGATCAGCAGGGACTCTCTGTTGAATCATTTCAGCTCTTTAACGTGTCCTTGGAGCATGTCAGAGGTTTTACCTGATTAGGTATTCTGAGCGGGGGTCTTGGGCCACCAGGATATCTTGGTGACATGAAAGGCTGGAAAGAGAAATCAGCAGAAAAAATATATCTTTGCATTGACATCAAATACTGTAAATGGACAAGGGCCACACCAATGAAAAACCAAATATCAATATAAATGGAAGAAGGGGTACCCTTCAACAGGGTTATCTATAATAAAAAATAATAACATTCTGATTACCGGCATCACCAATCATGAGTCATCTCAACTCAAAGTTATTCAGATATTTAAAGTTAGTTAATTAACTATTAGGCCTATGGTAAATAATCAAGCCTCATTTGTCCCTGTCTAGTATAAATCTGATCCATCAACTTATCAGCTCACAAGCTTCTAATGGAAATGATTCCACACTCAAAAGAAATTTCTTCAGAATGCAGGAAAAACAGAATGGAAAGCGGCAAATCTTCTTGGAAGGCCCTAGGCCTCCAGCAAACCCCAGCTTGTTCCTCCTGATGCAGCAAATCCTCCCTGATCCTGGCTACCTTTCCAAAAGTACAACTTACAATTACCTAAGAGGTTAAGAATATCCCAAAAACAATATGCATGGATCTATAGCAGGGGTGGGGATCCTGTTCCATGAAAGGCTGGTGGAGGTGCAGGTTTTTGGGATGACCTCTCAATCAGCCAATAACAGTGGGTCCCCAGGATTGGAGTTGAGAACCACTGCTTTATTATTGGCTGACTGAGAGGCCATCCCAAAAACCTGCACCCACACCGGCCCTCCATGGAACAGGTTCCCCACCCCTGATCTATAGGCTTCTCCAATCTCGCAAAAAGTCAGGGTTTATGAGTCCACATTCGGAAAGAGAGTGGGGGGAAAATGGGATACATTGTAGAGAAGCAAGATGTAAACCATTATGTCTCAGGAAAAACAAACCACACAGTCCATATGAAGAATCTCATACCAGAAGGAGCAGTGTCATAGCTTATAAATGTTTATTGACGCTTTGACTTGGAGGCCATTGTTAAAAGAACTATAAAGCCTCTGTGGCCATGGGTTCTCCAGGACAATTTCAGAACATTTATGCATTAGTTGAAGTTGCAGCACAGCTGGATCATACAGCAAGACATCTGACACACACCCATAAGTATACATCAAAAGGGTTGAAGACAAAAGAAACTGAGACTTCTTTTGAGAAACCTTTAGACACATACGCTGTCAGTTCTGGAAAGTATAAAAACAGCATCCTGTTTTTCTTGTTTCAGTGGAAGGGTTTTGAGAAATAAATAAGTGATTTAAAAAGAATGTACAGCAGAAGTCATCTGACCATTAAAGCAGGTCATTTGCTCCAGTAATCCTCTTACACACTTCAGAGAGAGAGAGAGAAAGCACACACTCCAAATCCCACAAAGAGAACACAGATGAGAAACAGGAGAAAACAAACAACAAAATAGAAAAGGCAGTTAGTTGTGTCACTAGCAAGGAGCTTGTCTTAATACCACCATGAAAGATCATTGAGCCCGACAACACATATAGAAATACCGCATATATAAATATATGCTCACGAAAAGACAATGTTTCTACCATGAATTTGAGTGCACAATGGGGTCATAAACATACCTTAAATATATGGCTGCCATAAGCCAATGGAGTAAAAACAAATATATAATAAAGTAACACAGCGTAGTTGGGCTAAAATTGGAGCCAAAAACAACTAAAATATACATATTACAAGAAAAATGGAATAAAAAAAAGTTCTTTCAGATTGTATTGTGATACTGGACTTTTAGTGCAATAAATGTGAAATCACACATTACAAAAAAAGGAAACAATTCAATTTTATCTCTTTCCCAGAAAATTGCTAGTAATCTCTAAACATATAAAATATTTCTGCAATGCTTTTACTGTTTTATTTGTATTAAATTACTTAGTTATAGGTTTAGTTGGGTATGACGACAACAAAAAGCAAAAACCGACAGCTGGCTTAGAAAATATCTTTCTATTTTAAGAATTTGTTTGCTTGCTTGCTTGCATTCAGTACATTCAGCTGCTGACTGTACATTTTTTTGTTTTTCTTTGCTTAAAAAAGATTCTAGCATTTTAGTCCAGCCCTACCTGTTATGCTCAGCATCACACCACAACCCCATGTACCAGACAAAGTATTCATCATGCTGACATTTTCATAAGCTCATATCTTCAATACAAAGAAATTTCAGTGGTTCTTACATTTTTTTTCTCCAGTTTCTCATTCCCAATTGGGATTTTTAGCAGAAACTGTTATACAAAGCGATTCACGACTAACAAAGCAGGATCAGGCAGTTTCTGGAGCGACTGGGGTTAAGGGTCTTGCTCCAGAGCCCAAAATCACTCTGCCAACCCTGGGATTTGAAATGGCAGCCTTCCACACTCAGGCTCAGTACCCTAACCCACTCAGAAATACACTGTCCTCATTTTCAGTGTTGGCTAGCATACTTGGTAAGATGTCTATTTTATATTGATTGTCTTAAATTACAAAACCATAAAAACAAGAAATAACTCACATATAAAGCCACACACATTCATAGTCACATACAAACGGCATAATGACATATTTATTAGGGATGGGCCGATCCACGTTTTTTCAGTTCTGATCTGGTTCCGATACATAACTTCCAATACCGATAGACATTCCGATATGAGCTAGCTTTACTTTAATATTTTAATATAATAAATATTTATATAAAAGAAATATTTCTACTTCATATATTATTCATATTTTTAAAACTAGTAAATACAAATGAAAAAATTGTATGCCAAAAAATCTTTAATTAGGCTACTAGAAACATAGTCTACAAAACGTACTGTTCCACCTTGTTTGTACATCTTGTTTTAAGCATTTTTGAAGCATTTGCAGTTCAATTTGAATATCTTCCAAGAGAGTATACTCAAGTGGTGAATGTTTAAAATGCCCCACAGTTGATCTCCCACTGGCAACAGCGTCAATTCGTTGCCATGGCAGCCTCTCGTGTATCACAAGCTGTAGCGAGTGTGCAAAGCAGCTCATGCTAGTGACTCTGATATCATCCATTGCTTTTTTTTTTATATTACTCGTGTTGTCTCGCACAATTGCATTCGCCTTGTTTAGTGAGATTTTCCACTAAACGCTACTTCCAATTCTCAAATCTTTGTTTTTATAAAGATTTCGAATCACTGTACTAATTGCTGTTAAGAACGTTAAATATTACCAGATTGTTACCCTCTCATCTGATTTTCTTACACTTCTCGTACTGCGAAGGGTATATGCATGACGTCACAGCAGGCGGAAGTCACTGTGCTCACACCCACTGAGTGGCAAAAAACTGAGTGGCAGCCTTAGCGTTCAGCTTAAATGCAGCAAAAAAACACATCTAAAATGAGAAAGAGCTGTCATGCGATTGTACCAATCTATAAAACAAGAAAAAGGGAGTTATCTTTTTACGTAATGCAAAAACTAAATAAGTAAGTATCAGGAGTGGATCAGTCACAGTATGGCCGATACCCGATCCGAATGACAGGTATAGATTGGTGCCGATACCGATCCCATATTTGGATCAGTGCATTTCTAATATTTGTCAACATATTCAACATAGTTCTGTGTACCACGGCTGTAACAGTAGCTTGCCAAACTTCTTGTCAGCCCTTGAAACTACTGCTTGCAGCTATATCTTTGGTTTATTATTTTGAACAAGAAACTGCCAAGTGATAATGATGTGTGGGGATGCAGTCAGAGACAGCTAAGACAGATTGTACAATTACTAAACAATCTTGTGGGAGGGCAGTACTATACTGGAAAGGCATGGTTTTCTGGGTGATTTGTGTGGGATTGGAGGGATGTATCATATACAGTGAGATTTAGCTGTGCAGGATATGAGGGGAGGTAATGCTGTATGTGGTCGGGTTTAACTAGGAGGATTGTGAGGGGGTAGCTGTGAATCATATGGACAATATGTGACCTATGTGAGGTTTAACCTGTGTCACTGTTACCTGTGTGTGTCTGCCAATCATAGGGTAGCTGGGGTTGTGAGGTGATGACTGTGCATGGGATGATAGCTGTGATGCTGGAGGGCCCTAAGAGAAAAAAGGAAATTAACCCATTACAAACAAACATCAGCAATCGGCCGGGTAAAAACTAGGAGAGAAGTACACACAAGTAAAAAAGAAAGTGAGAAAAATACCATTTTGTTCACCAATACAATGAACTTTGTACCAAAAATTCCACACTTTAAAGGCGTTTTACGAGATATTTCCAGTATCAGTATAGAACTAAAATATGAATTAGACATGATATGGAGTCATGATCCTGGATTCGATCCCCGGGTCACCCAGGGTGCCTTTCTGTGTGGAGTTTGCATGTTCTCCCCGTGCATGCATGAGTTTCCACTCTAAATTGCCCATAGGTGTGACTGCGAGTGTGTGTGGCTGTTTGTCTGTGTTGGCCCTGTGGTGGACTGGCGGCCTGCCCAGGGTGAACCCCGCCTCTCGCCTGAAGGTTCTGGGATTGGCTCTAGCTTCCCCGTGACCCAGATGGATTAAGCGGTATAGATAATGGATGGATGGATGGATGGATGGATGGATGGAGTCATGAGCTGAATAAAGATTGTAAACAACACTTTATTCTTCTTTAATTTTGGTGTACACTATTGCTTGAGCAAAAACTCACTCTAGAAGCATTGCTGCTCCCTATACTGTCTAGTTTGAAAATGGATATATGCAAAAAGTGGTCATATTGCCTTTTTAAAAATTGTTATATGTAAATCTCTTAAATTTTAACAGTGCATTAACTACATAGTGGTGGTTCTGAGGCTAGGGATCTGTGTCAGTAACTGGAAGGTTGCTGGTTCAAATTCTACTCCATTGGGCCCTTGAGCAAGGCTCTTAACCTGCAATTGCTTCGTCCTGTGTATGATGTTAATCTACATCTAGCTCTGTAAGGACTCCAGCCACTGGAATAAAAAGTCACACTGGTCCATTCGGACTAGTGTAGTGCTGAGGTATCACCCACCGCATGGCTGCATTCAGGTTCATTCCTTAGGTGGTTTGTTGTGTGGTGGGTGCAGCAACGCACTGTATCAGTGCATGCTCCTAACCTTGCATAAAACAATAGATCTTTATACATAAATAAAATACAAGCTTATTATTAAGTTTAAGTGCATTCCTCAATGGGGAGCTTGGCACTGGATATTTATAGAAAACATCCATCTCCCAGCTGCTTATGCAGTCCAGTGTCACAGAGGGGTTCTGAAGCTTATCCCAGGCGACATAGGGCCCAAGGCAGGGAGACAACATGAAGGAGATGCCAATCCACACAAGGTACAACATGAAGGAGATGCCAATCCATACAAGGTACAACATGAAGGAGATGCCAATCCATACAAGGTACAACATGAAGGAGATGCCAATCCACACAAGGTACAACATGAAGGAGATGCCAATCCACACAAGGTACAACATGAAGGAGATGCCAATCCACACAAGG